AAATCGCAAATTTAATGAAATCCACCCTGTCTACTGTGAACAGTCTTAAGTTATTATAACCTGACGAAGAACCCTTCAAACAATTCTTCTGATTTTAGCGCTCGATAATTAATTTACCAGAAATCTAGCACCCCCCCCCCTAATGTCATTTTTTTAATACCTTCAGTTTTTTTGTTCTGTAATTTTACTCAAAGTGGATAAATTTAATATCCAAATACTAATTGATTTATTAATATATTTATTCTTACCAGCAAATAATTTGAACTGTGGGCGAATAATTTATTGTCGTAATAAAAGAAAAAGAAAAAAAACATTATCTAAATTTTTTCTGTAAAGCAAAGTTAAGTATTATCACACCTCTCATGTAAGCAAACATTTGAATTTGAAGTGTTGTTTTAACTTAATCGAGATCTCGTGCGAATAAAGTATTGAATCAACTTCAAACAAGGTTTTTGTCACTGAGACATCTGCTATTTTTACCTTTAGCCTAATTAGCCATCGCACTAGTGCTGATATTCTTAAAGGACAGGCGATAAGGAAAATTTATGACGCTAATTTCATCTGGCTGTGTTGTAGGCAGAGCGCTGATAAACTACAAAAGTTTAGCTAGGGCTATGAATGTCGGTTTTCTTTCTAACAAGAACCTCACAATTCTTCATTGACCAAAGTTGTAATTCCATGCAAACATCAACTCTGCTCGCGCCAACCAATGTCACGCGCAGATGAAGCTATATTTACGTGTACACGATGATAGCTTATTACAAACTTAACAGTTCTCTGCTAACTTTAAATGAGTACGTGCTCAGCTTGCCCCAAATTCTAGACGTTTATGACGTATCGATGTTTTCTCTGAATCTTTGTGTTTTTATCAAATCTCAAAAAGCGTAAGCAAATTATACAACTGTTTTCACTCTTGGTGGTTGAAAACTTAATAGGTGATCTTGTAGACTTTATTTAACAGAGTGTTAAGTAAACCAATTTATTTTGTTTTTTATTTTATTTTATTATTCGAAAATTTTATTAGCTGAAATCTAGGTGTTGAATTAGAAGCAAGGTTGTAATTGTAGAGGTTTCCTACCAATGTTTACCTACCAATGACATAAACTGCACGATTTAAATCTACGATAAGCATGAATGTTTTGGTTACCAAACATTGTGCTTCTATCAGTTTTAGTGTGGTCTAATGAGTAGCATGCCGGGATGTTAATAACAAGATCTATGGTTCGAGAACGATTGATCTTCCGTTGAACATGCTCCACATTTCAGCTGTGAACACGTTATAAAAGAGACAGTCAGTTCCGCTATTCGGTTACAAGTATCCATGCAGGTGACGGATGATGCTGACTTGTAGGCCTTCCCTTTGGTCTACAGTTCTAAATCTGGAACGGCTGTGCCTGAACCTTGGGTATCTGACCTTGCCCTTTAGTGTATGTATCACATAAGGTGCCATTCAGACTGGAAATACCAAACACCACACGCACTTACCACGTTATAGTCTGAACAAAAAAAAAAAGTTGTGTATGTAACGATTTCCTTGAAAAACCAGGTATTGTTGACTTTTAACAAAATTTTCTTTAAATGATACCGACTAGAGCTTGTTTCGGTTCATAAAATATGAAGCTCGAAGTATAAGACCTGTTGAAGTGGAAGTTTACTGGGACATTTTTTATGTGTATGTATGTTGGTGTGTGTGTATATATATATATATACACACTTACACACGTATAATCATACAAACACATATACATGGACACTCACCAATGTTTCGTTTACCCCTGTATTTAACATGAATAAACACACTCCAAGCGTTTAAACACACACATACACTTACCAATGTTGCGTTTATTCATGTACGGGACATGAACAAACACCTACGTACCCTTACCTATGTTCCATTTACTCCTGTGTTTAATATGAACAGCACAAATATACACTTACCGATGTTCCTCGTACCTCTGCAATGAGTATGACTGAGTTAAACATATTTGTATCGTATATATATTTTTTTTGCATTTGGAATGAATGTTTTTAGTTTTATAATAATGATACAATAATACATATTATATAAAACAAGGCCTATCATGGTCTGATGATAAAGGCGCTCGACTTGTAATTAGCAGGCTACGGATTTGGATCCAGTCAGCGAACATGCTCTCGCCTTTTCGGCTGTGGGAGCGTTATAACGTTTCGTTGGTAAAGAGTCAACCAAGAGTTGGCGATGGATGTTGTTGAATAGCTATCATGGTCTGATGATAAAGGCGCTCGACTTGTAATTAGCAGGCTACGGATTTGGATCCAGTCAGCGAATATGCTCTCGCCTTTTCGGCTGTGGGAGCGTTATAACGTTTCGTTGGTAAAGAGTCAACCAAGAGTTGGCGATGGATGTTGTTGAATAGCTATCTTCCCTCTAATCTATCACTTCGAAATTAGGATCGACTATTACAGATATGTCTCGAATAGATTTGCGCAAAATTCAACAGACAGACAAACAAGAATAGAATAATTGAACGATAATCATAAAATATTCTATTTCAACTATGATAAAACCACTGTTATAAAATAATGTTAATCACATCTTCTATGTTCATTTCTTTATGCATGTGTGTGTGTGTGTATGTTTTGTTATAACAAAGCCACAATGGGCTATCTGATGTGTCCACCGAGGGGAATGGAACTCCTGATTTTAGGTGGGGATCATACAAGGCATATCATGATTTGACGTGCGGACTATTAACCATTTAGTCTAATCTCTTAAATACACATTTGGTAGAGGTTTATGGTTTATGATACCTTTAGTATCAGGATTCACTTAACGGGAAGCTGTGCAACTTCTAAGAGCATCTCACGCATGCTCAAAGGGACTAAAGTTCGACGAACATGGAGGCTATTCCATTTAGTCAACCCATCTTCTTTAAAAAACGTGACAGGTAGTTTAGTACGATGGGGGCAGGCATTAACATACATTGGTTTCAAGTCACAGCCAATTGCATCAGCAAACCGTGTCAAAAATGAGTCATAGGCTATAGTGTCCATAATGTGTGGCATTAGCTATACCAATCCATAGGTCAATATTCCCACCAGTGCTTATGGCTGCTCACACCATATTTACTCCACCACTATATGCATCACGTTCTTGTATGAAACTGGTACTGGATATAGTTTCAGGTTCTCTACAAATGAGTACGAGTTTGTTATGGAGGCAGTGGGAGCACGATTCATCTGTAAAAGGAAAAGCATTGTTCTGCATGTTGCTATCCACCTTTCACACCTTTATAAGCGAACTGTATTGTGCTTTGTTGTGAGCGGAATGCACTTCATGAAGCGTCTGTTTTGAAGACTATTTTTAGCAGTCTGTACACTGCCGTTACGACTGTATACTTACGATTCAGTCACGAAACAAGTACATTACGATTGTGGCGAGCTAGGATCGACGCATATGAATTGTTTACTTGTGTTATGGATGATATACTCTGTCCAGGTACTGGAACAGCTTTACTACTGGTTTAGAAGCGGTTTTTGTGTTATGGATGATATACTCTGTCCAGGTACTGGAACAGCTTTACTACTGGTTTAGAAGCGGTTTTTGTGTTATGGATGATATAATCTGTCCAGGTACTGGAACAGCTTTACTACTGGTTTAGAAGCGGTTTTTGTGTTATGGATGATATACTCTGTCCAGGTACTGGAACAGCTTTACTACTGGTTTAGAAG